AATAATCCTTTCAAAATCACTAGAGGACAGAAACGGTTTAACCTTTGCTATTGATCTTACATAGAAGAAACAAGATTTGACCACGGAGTTGATCTGTTTATCAAATTTCAAAGAACTATCAAATTGGGCACCAAGGTTCTTCACCACAGATTTACAGAAGGGAGCTAAATTGCCCAAGTCAAAAGAGTTCTGGGCGTCAGGAGCCCCGAACCAGATTATTTCAGTTTTGCTTTCATTCAAATTCAGATAATTTTGGTGACATCCAAGATTTAACTTCATGTAAACAACTCAATAGTGACTCAAAAGAGCTTTTATCCTGTTTCTGCAAAGGCACTCAAATACCTGAACGTCATCTGCGTAACAATGAAAAGATACTCCATGCTTATGAAATATAGAACCTAAGGGTAAGATATATAATGAAAACAAGACTGGGCCGAGAATGGATCCTTGTGGAACTCCACTAGACAATGGGGCCGTTTTAGAGTAATGTTGACCAAAATGGACTTAAAACGTCCTATTAGAAAGAAAGGATATGAACCACTCAAATGCCATACCCCGGATTCCCATCTTTTCTAGACGACAGACAAGAATATTGTGATCAATGGTATCAAATGCTGCACTGAGATCTAGTAAAACTAAAACCACTGAGCGGCCTGAATCAATCTAAATAAAATAAATAGAATCGAGAATCAAAATAGAATAGAATCGAAATAAGAATCGAGTGAGCCAGTGATTCAATGGTCCATTCAGATGGACTCACTTGTTTTGTTTCTAATTGAATCAGCTGTTTTGAACAAATTGTTTGATTTGAATGATTCGATAAATCATTTATTAAAGGGATAGTTCACCCAAAAATGAAAATTTTATGTTTATCTGCTTACCCCCAGGGCATTCAAGATGTAGGTGACTCTTCAGTAGAACACAAATTATGATTTTTAACTCCAACCGTTGCAGTCTGTCAGTCGTATAATGCATGGCAATGGTAACAAAATCTATGAGAGTAAAAAAAACATGCACAGACAAATCCAAATTAAACCCTGCGGCTCGTGACGACACATTGATGTCCTAAGACACGAAACAATCGGTTTGTGCGAGAAACCGAACAGTATTTATATAATTTTTTACCTCTAATACACCACTATGTTCAACTGCCTTGAGCGTGCGCACGGCATCCGGTGCGTGAGGTTTGTACGCGCTCTGGCGTAGTTTACGCAAGCGCCGGAAGTGATCTCTCGCGCGTATATACGTTATTCCCTGCCACTGTGAAGATCTAAAGATATTTAGACGTACAGATCATCACAATGGAAGACGATTTTGATATATCAACAGACCACGTGGATTTTTTTGCCCAACCGTATTTATTTGAACCAGAATACTCAGATCAAGAACTCAGAGAGATGGAGGAAGCATCTGCTGCAGCAGCACGTCTTCAAGCCTCAGAGAGACAGAGATCTCTTCAAAAGTGGTGGTGTTCTTGTAGTAAGTGTTGTGAGATGCCAACAGAAGTGGAGAGCATCTGTTGTCACGAATGGAACATAGCAATGCCACAACTACAAGACGCCGACGAGGACATTGCCGAGGGTGTCCCATCACACCTGCCTGACTGAAGATCCAGACTTTTCTCTGCTGTTGAGCCACAGTGTTTTGCACGTTGTGTTTAGCTTGCCACGTATAAACTGGAGGCGACGTCCAAGGCCAGAGGGACCCAATGGCACGCTGTCAATAGAGTGAGTAATGTGTTGTATTTGTAATGTTATTGCAACGATTACAGGGGTGCATATGAACATATGAGATTATAGTGTGCCATCCGCAAGAAATACCCATCCCCCTCTGGACGTTATGTGGGCTTCACAGAAGCAGACAATGCATTTGCAATGTTGTAGAAATTTGAATTGAACTCTTATAATTTGTAACTATGTTCTATATATTTTCAATATTTATTACTTGTAATGTAAGCCTTTTTCTTATTTTATAGGCATTACCATTTATTATCGATTTATGAGCAATCAATGACTTTGTGAAATTTTTGGCTGGTGTCATTATAATGTACATTTCAGTTGTCTTTGAATTCCTAAAATAAAACAAAATTGTCAATACATGTTAATTTCTATATGCAATACTAAACAGTCTGTACTTATAATGGTTTCATTATATAGAGATAGATAGACAATTAGAATAAAGAGTAATGCCATTACATGAAAGCAAGTATTTTACCAGTTTATTTTCTTTATCCATAGATTCACAAATGAACAGTTATCAAATCACTGAAAAAAATGTAGTTATAAACCAAATTATAAACAACTTAAAACCTATTATAAGTAAATAAGGAACCAAATGCAATACGATGTTTAATAGATCAATTATAATTTAAATATCTCAATTACTGAATTTTTCCTATAAGCTTTTTGTTAAATACTCCTCATTTAGTTATTTAACAGATATATTGACTTTTGGATACTACTGTAACAGGCAATGTCAAACACCATACACACACCCCTAAAGAAAACCACCATGCAATGTGGAACTTATTAGCGTCACTTCGTAAAGTTAACCTACACTGTTGTCGGTCTGTAAAAAACTACTTTGAGAATCGTGACAAATGCTTTGCGACTGTGTCTTCCTTAGATGGTTTGGTCTGCTGCGATATGTTTTTTGGGACAGATTGTATTACCAAATGTGAAGAAGAGTCCTTGTAAATAATAGTGCTGTCCATGCGCCTCTCAAATACTCAACGTACAAGATCATCTCTGAAATTTTGAGTTGGGGACTCGTACAGTTTTCGGCCACCCACTGTTTAGAGTGCTTGGGGAACACTACACTGAACCGTGGCGTACCTACCAAAAAAATAAATAAATTGTATTTATATTTGTACTGAAATATTAAATTACAATCAGTGATGTATTGCATAGCAAACTTACCAGTGTTGGTTCTGGCCTGCTGTCTGTGAACATTCTCATTGTGTTCAAGCACTGCCACCTGGGTACGTGCAAGCATTGATGTGTAATGGAAGTGTATTCTTTTGGGGCAGTACTTCAGGAGCAGTGAATGGAACACTTCAAGCTTACCTGATAAAAAATAAAATAATACAGTGTTCAGAAATGTTCTTGCTCTGTGAACATACATTACACATATGTAAACTGACCAGTATGCTTGAAAAGTGCCATCTGCCTGAGGTCCTTCAGAAGACCCTTGTCTAAGACAAGGTTCTCTAATGTAATGAATGCCCTGGACTTTTTATCAAGCCATTTCTTTTTTCTCTGCTCATCAGAGGTAAGCTCGCTATGCAGACATCTTCTTTCTTCTCCATCTTCTGTCCAGGAATGAACCCCACAAATGTGGTGCAGAAGTGACTTCCACCTTTTGATCAGCTCCTGATAAATTTGAAGTAAATATTTAGCTGTCTTCTACAGTTTATTTGATAAAAACCAGTTACAGAAACACAGTCACGCGACTTACATCCGGGTCACCTCCACAAGATGAACATGAAAACCACAGATGATTGCTAATGCTCTTAATCCATGGCTGAAGTGGTCTGTTGTCTTTGTATCTGGATACCGAAGCCAATTTCTTGATCATTCCTACAAGAAAAAGAAAATGTTCATCTGCATCCAAAAGTATTGTTCAACATCACAGTCATCAGCTGTGTCTGACTTGAAAACAGACTGTGCACACAAGGGGGTGTGATATCATATTACTACTAGAGAGATGCTAAAGCATACAGAGCTGCTTTATTTACAACCCTTCTGTACCTTTGTCATTTAGTGTTTACCTTGTGAAGAGGCACTTCAATTAGAAGAATGCCAAATTATTATTTTTTTGGTGAATAGTTTACTGCTGCGTTTATAAATAACAAAACAGAAGTTGAAAAGAATACATAAGTTACTGCACTAGGCATTGATTTAAAAAAAAATACCTTTTGCCACATGCCATACATCAAACTCGTGATGAATGTTTGTGTAGTCGACTCGCATTATCTTGCGAATGGATGGGGATCTATCAGTTGTCACCACACTTACTCCAATATCGTCATCTAGGATTTTGCCGAGTGCTCTCCTGAAACCAGTCGACTCCATTGCTACAGAGCTTGGCATACATTTTGCCACATGCCATACATCAAACTCGTGATGAATGTTTGTGTAATCGACTCGCATTATCTTGCGAATGGATGGGGATCTATCAGTTGTCACCACACTTACTCCAATATCGTCATCTAGGATTTTGCTGAGTGCTCCTGAAACCAGTCGACTCCTACAGAGCTTGATGATTCTGTAACCTATAATAAAAAGAAATGGCAATTGCAAATGAGACACAGTATTACATGGTTTGTAAATCTTGGAGAAAAACAACACTGTTTTGTGAATATGACCCATAACCTGTTGTCCGTCTACACACAGGTAATTTGTAGCTCATTATTATAAATAAAACATAATAAAAAATATTACATTAAAATTGCATTACCCCAAACATATCACTATTGTCATGAACACTTACTTGCACCAGCTCAAAGTGTACCACTTTGTCTGTATTGTCATCCATCAAGCTGTATGTGGTGTACTTTGCCGAATATTCAGGACTGCGTTGAGATATAACAGAAACCCAGATTTCAATGTTTATTGTTACTTTAAAGAGAACATAATATCACATAAAAATTCACCATTTACATATAGAATTACCTGTCTGATCTTCCATCTCCAGATAGATGTATTTCCTTTTTTTCTGTGCTTCCTGCCTTCAAATGTTCCAGTAAGGCAGTCTGTTGTTCTTTGAATGCCTCATCAATTGCAGGTATGAGGTAAGAAGACTGTATTGCAAAAAAAGTTGTTTTGTGTGGTACTTGAAGATTAAGCACAGCAGCCCATTCAATGATGTCTGCATACGTGGCCCCCATAAACACAGTACCTGCTGACACTAGAAGGTTGTTTGATGGAATTCAACGCACATCAGAACATGAATTCCACTGCCCCTTATGTCCTTGTTCACATTCCCAAAGAACACTGATTAGGCTCCCTGAAGTTTTTATTTTTTTTCTGTGATTAGTGCACCACAGTCTTGACATCTACTAAATTGTTTCATCAGTGCTGATTCATTAACAATCCATTTCCGTTCTTGCCATGGCTGTTCCTCCTCTTCCTCTGTCGTAGTGGTTGTACTGGAGGCAGATGTGGAACAAAACTAACATTCTTCTTTTCAGATGGTGGATCTAATGAAAGCATGCTGATATTTAGGTCATCAGGCTCGCTTTCACTGGCAGCTGGTTCATCCTACAAGAGAAAAGGAAGGTGTTTTAAATATTTGTTTAAAGATGTAAAAATAGTTAAAAAAAATGTACATTACAAATAACTGTATTCAGTTTACAGTTGTTTATACCAACAGCACATTTAGCCATTTTCCAGCTTGCATGTAAAATTCAGAAACACTCTAATACTTACAAACTGCTGGCACCTTACAGCTGGAAGAGCATATGTCCCGGATGTGGAGGGATATGAATGTTTTTCCGACGACTGTGGACTTGTTAGTAGTAACATCATATGCTTGTGTAATTTGTCCTCTTGTCCAGTGGTTTTTTCAACACCAGTTTTCATTGGCTTCCTTGTTTGATGTTGCACTGCGATGTCTCATGTTTCAAACATGAGTCTAATGTCTAGATTTGTTGAATTTTTTTTTTTCTTGGAAAGGACTCTGATATTAAAGTCATGTACAAATTTGACTCCTGCGCATGAATCCATGTTCAGAGATTTGGCCGGTAAATTGGGCTCTTTGAATTTCAGTAACATTAAACTGACTTAAAAAATCCAGTTGAATCTAGTATAATATAGGAAATAAAAGAGTTATCGAATAAGCATGTTCTAAACTCCTGAAACATTGGTGTTTCATATTTTAGAGCAGTCACTGCAATTTATGAAAGAAATCAATTAAATCTGTATGTGGGAGTGTGTGTGAAAAAAGAAGATGTAACCCCCTTTGTAATCCTTAACATTTTCATTAGTAACTGTAATTTAATTACACATTTTTTCTCAATAACTGTAACTGATTACAATTACTTTTATTTTGTAATTAAATTACGTAATTCCGTTACATGTAACTAGTTACTCCCCAACCCTGCCAACAGGTGTGCAACTCCACTAATTGTACTGATTGAGAGATAGTTTCCTAATAAGATTAGGGAGAGAAATAAAGAAATACAGAAATACAAGCTTAGCATATTTTTTTTAGACAAATAAGACTGTGAGATTTTTTTCTCAAATAGTGACAAGTGTGGGGATACATTGGATTTTACTCCTTTTAAACCTAAGAGCAGGTTCTCTCCACCTAAACATAGAAATCATTCTGTGGAGACATTTTGTCGTCTGCTTGAGAAAGAAGCCAGGTTGTGGTGTGAGAAAGCCACTAAGGTAAAAAAGCTGAATTTAAACCCAGAAGAGAGGACGGCATTAAAGTCTCTACAATCAGATTCCACTATAACGATCAAACAGGCAGATAAAGGTGGAGCAATAGTAATCATGGACACTGAGAAATATCAAGCAGAGTGCACAAGACAATTATTGGGTGATGTTTTTTATACCTGTTTACCTTCTGATCCAACTGTGACTTATAATAGACAAATAAAATACATTTTAGAAGATGCAGTGAACAACAATGTGATTGATAAGTCCACCTTTGCCTTTTTATATGTCCAACATCCACGGGTTCCACTTTTCTATACATTACCTAAAATTCATAAAAGTTTGGAAAACCCTGTAGGAAGACCTATAGTTTCAGGAATTGGTAGTGTCACAGAAAAGATTTCCCAGTATGTGGACTACTATCTTAAACCACAACACTTCCATCCTTTTTAAAGGACACTGGAGATTTCCTGAGACTTTTAGATAAGACTGTTATACCAGATCAATGTTTGTTAGTATCATTTGATGTTCAGTCTTTGTACACTGTTATTCCACATGATGTTGGCATTGAACATTGTATGCATTTCCTTGACTTGAGATCTAATAAGAACCCTCCATCATGTTTCTTAGCTTCCCTGATGAGACTTGTTCTGACCTAGAATTACTTAAGGTTTGACAATGACTTTTTCTTACAGTGATGTGGGACAGCTATGGGCACTCGAATGGCCCCTAATTATGCAAATTTACATCTTGGGTTTGTTGAAAAATGTCATGTTATTGATGAAACTAAAAACCCTTTGTTTAATTGAATATTGTTGTACAGTCAGACCCAGATCTTTCTAAAACTTTTAAACATCCCCCATTGATTTCATTTCGCAGAGCAAAGAATCTGAAGAACTTTTTGGTTAAGGCTGATGTATGCAAAAGTCCCTCAAAGCCTCCACCATTTATCGTTGTATGTGGGTGAAACATCAAGAGAATTGAGAACCCGCATTTGTGAACATCGTAGTGCCATTAGAAGTGGGGATGATAGTAACCCTGTAGCACAACATTTTAAAGAGTATTCACATTCTATTTGTGAGTTTGTTTGTTTTTTACTTTGGCATAGAACAAATCCATTCAGCAGGTCAGGGAGGAGATATTGACGTGAAGCGCAAATCCAGAGAAACCTTTTGGATATTTACTTTAAACACATTGTTTCCCAAAGGTTTGAATCAAGAAATTGATTATAGCTTATTTTGAGAAAAGTACTTTTTCTTTATATGGATACTTATGCTAAAGCAGCACCTGAGAGTTCATTCAAAAGGAGAAGCCACATTCATGTCATTTGTGTGGAAAGAGTTTTTTTGTGTCTACAAAATTTAAAAGAACATCAGAAAATACATACTGCTGTGAGAGAGTACATGTGCTATGAGTGTGAAAAAACCTTTACTTCAGCGAACTGTTTAAAACAGCACCAGAGGATCCACACTGGAGAAAAACTTTATAAGTGTCCACACTGCGACAAGAGATTCAGTCATTCATCAAGTCTGAAAAGACATGAGAGGATTCACACTGGAGAGAAACCGTATCACTGCACTGCATGTGGGAAGCGTTTCAATAATTCATCTGCTTTACACAGACATACAAAAAACAATCACAATAAGGCCCTGTACTCACAGAGATGCATTTAGCTGTATTCATCCAGACGGATCCAGCGTTTTGGGAGCCTGAAACCGCTATTTTTTTTTAAAAACCGGGTCCCAGAGTGGATAAATCTAAAAACAACACCTTTGCTTTTTCGTGTGTATAGCCAGTCTGTATATTTTGTGAAACGATGTTATAATCACTGCACGTCTTTACCCTAGTCAGACGCCGCTACATCATGTAATAAAAACAATAACAATGACGGACTACATGCTTGTATTTGTGCTGCAGAAGCCTATTATCTTTACTAACTTCACTAGATTTTCTTGTTGTTGTGTTGGGTTTGTATACAGCACCCAAGGTTTATGCACGTGCTCCAAGTCTTCTTCTCTGTTTTTAGTGTATCTCTGTGGCAGAATTACAGCACCACATACTGGTCTGGCATGTATACTGCATCATTTTGAGTTGGTTTTGTGTGTACGCAGATATTTCTTGGGATGACGCCGCGTTTACGGAGGAACAAGGAAAAAGCAAAGATTGCATATGGTAAGCTCTGGCTTCGTGTTGATGAGCCCTAAGTAGATCATCTTCAGATCCAGCACTTTCAGGTCTGATGCTGCGTCCTGAACAAATGTGAAACAAGAATGCATCGAGCAATAAAATATATTCTGGATAAATCTGTCCTAACCATGACATGACAAAGAAACATTATCTAAAGTTTTCACAGTGAATAAAGTTTATCTTCATCTTCAAAACCATCAGATTCAACTGTGAGATTCAGATCAACACAAAGATAGAGTTCCTCCCCAAAGAACAATGTCAAAAAGTGTTATTCTTATATATCAGTTTGCTTCATGATTTAAATGATATCATTGTGCTTTCTTATGAGTTTCATTTAATTCAAGTTCAGTTGTCTTATAATGCATATCACTTGTAGTTTGCTTACGTTTTCATGAAGGAAAGCAGAAGCTTTTTACAAACTGTTCTTGTTCAGGAAGCTGAAGAAGAGGCTGTAACACTTTTAAGAGACACCAAGATATATTTTTAATTTATTCTTCATTGTTATTTTTAAAACAAGTTATTTTTCTATGATATATTTAGAAAACACAGATGCAAGATATACTATCATGTAGCTTTGTAATTGATCCTTATTTGCTTCTCTTGTAAATAGAAATGAATGCCTGAACCCAGTGGAAGGAGTGAAATTATTTCCTTATGAAATAAATTCTTTGTGAAGCCAAACACTCAGGAACTCTCACAATGCAAATGCCATGCCACGAAACAATGGGCTTTGATCTCCTCGTGAAGCCAAACACTCAGGAACTCTCGCAATGATTTGATCAAATAGGAAGATCTGGAAGAAAGACGATTTGCTCTTCGGTCCCTTCACCCATCCTTCCCCCCTGGGCACATGGTCCAGGTCACTAAAAGTTGACAGAGAAATGCCAAGAACTCAAGTTGCTATGCTCACATAAAACCTTTACTATATCTTCAGGATTCATGCTCGTAAACTTTTTATGTTTGGTGTCATTTTAA